CTACGCAAAAATACGGATTTTTAGTGGTTTTTTGTCAATTTTGGCGACAAAAACGAATCCAACCGATATTTTTTTTTTTGCAGAAGATGCATTCATCAATATGTCACACGTGGACGAAGTTTCGCAACATTGGCTGCATTTTTACATTCAGTCTATGCATTTTTCCACATTTCCTATAAGAACACGGGATAAATTCCGTTTTTAAAAATAATTTATTCCATTCGAACCATTAACCTTAGCAATCTGAAACTTCCACCAGGGCTTCGAAATATACCAAAGAATGTACTTAAAAAATTTCAAAAAATTGGCTGCATTTTTTTACTTCGCTTGAACATCATACAGAAGAATTTTCTACAAAAATCCAAACTTTTCTAGAAAAATCTGTAATTTGCTAGAAAAATCTATAATTTTCTAGAAAAATCTGGAATGTTCTAGAATTCCGATAGATCACGCCACTGCCGATGAGGAACCATAAGGACTTTTTCCTTAAATGCCCTCCTCCCTCACAATGAAAACATAGACGTATACACGTCAAAATTTTGTGTTCATGGAAAAGTGTCTTGAAATATATTGGTAATTAAGGATTCCTTTTGAACATAATAGAATAGTTCACGGAAAAAAAAGGAATTTCTAAGGGAGGGGGTCTTATAGATACACACGTACAAAAATGTTTATGGTCACGGCCATGGTCTTTTGCCGCTTGCCATTGCGCTGCTGAGAGACGTTGACATGTCCGGTTGCCATGGTATTTGCTATGCAGTTGCCATGGCGTTGCTGAGGGACGTTGCCATGGCATTGCAATGAAAAAAAAAAAATTATAATCAAGTAAGGGAGTTTGACCCTCTTGATCCTCGTAACCTTGTTGTACCTTGTGACCCTTATGGCCCTTCTGACCTTAAAGGTCCCAGGGGGCCGCAGGGGCACAAAGGTCAAAGGCCATGGCAAAGGCCATGGGAGCGGCCAAAAGACCAAAATTAATATTACGGGGGGATCCAGGTGAAATTTGAAAGTTTTGATGAAAATAACTAAAGAACTACTTTTCATATATCATGGGGTACCTAAAATACGAAGAAAAATGTCGTACTCAATGCATTTTACTGGGTATATGTCAGGCGGCGAGAACCTTGTTTTTCGTGTTTTCGACGTTGAAATGCTCCTCGCACCACAATTTCCATCCGACTCAAACTTTTGTTTTTTAACAATGTTTGTTAGATTCTATAGAATAAATCTAGGTATTTTTTTCGATTATCTCGTCTTAGAGAAAAAGGAATTCGTGAACGAAGAGAACAAGGATAGACGTCGTTAACAAATTCTGTTTATTTGAATTTATTCTTGATAATTCAATACAAATAAGAGAAACAAAAAAATAACTAATATAAAAAGGATATATTGATCTGTAGTGCTCTATTGTGTATGAAGGCTGTTCTCGAATGGTTGAGAAGCTGATTTCCCAGGCCGTGTATCTTGTAATCATTCTGGTTGCTTTGAAAACTGTTCTCGAACTTGAAATAGTTATTTTCATCACAAGGTCCACAAAGTATTTTCTGACGAATGTGGCTTTGTAGGCCGAGCCGAAGACGAGGCCTATAATCACATTCGTCAGAAAATACTTTTGGACCGTGTGATGAATGCAATTTTTCGTCAGAAGGCCCGTAAACCACGAGCAAACCGAGCGAAGCGAGGTTAGAATCGCGGTTTACCGAGTCTTCTCACGAAAAGTTGAATTAATTGATCCCTTGTGCTTTAGCTCTAAAGAAGTGTTCTCGAATATGAGAACCCACTGCGTAGCATGCTCAAACTACCCCGAAGACGTGTTCTCGGTATTGAGAAGCTGATTTTCCTGTTCCTCAGGTCGACAGAGGAGTGTTCTCGAGAATGAGAATCCACTGGACAAGTATACTCAACCGACCCTGAGGACATGTTCTCGAATTTGAGATGATGTTTCTACTCCTTTGTGCTTAGTCCGGAAGGAAGGTTCTCGAATCTGCGATGAAGTATTTTTTCTAATCCTTTACTGTACTTGTATGCTCACTCATGTTCTCGAAAAAAAAAAATTCAGTGTTAACTGGTACGAGATGTTTTCTCTCCAAAGTCTGCCAGACAAGAAGGGTTGGATTCTGGTATCTCCGCCACAAAATTATGGTATTTGCTTTAAAATTATGGTATCAAGGGATAGTAATGTAGAAACCGCTGAAGCGGTACGAAATTTCAAATGGACACCTTTCAAATCGTTTTCAAGTCATGTAAGAGCAGTTTATTATCGCTTATATCTCATATCTACGCGTAAAATGTGGCATTTCACTTGCAAAACTAATAAAAATTAATAAAAACTCGAGATCAAAGGAATAAAACTACAAGAAATAAGACAAACATTTTCTCACACTGATAGGAAAAATTCGTTCTGCCGAGATATTATGTTTCACAAGGGAGATCTTTTTGCTTCCGAATGGAAGCATTGTATTCCTCCGAATTTAAGTTTCCAGTTTTCTTCGTGAAGATAACTAATTTGGGGGTCAGGAGTCCGAACCTGATGTTTTTAGACCCCGTCCGTATGTATGTATGGATTTGCGTGTGTATGTGACCGATTCAGTTTTTTCACGATAACTTCGAAAATAATTATCTGAATCAATCGAATCTCGGCTAGAAATATACGTTTTTATGTTATACAGGCCGAGTTCGAAGATGGTGTCGATTGTGCTTTTAGTTTTTGAACTATTCTCAAATTTGGCCCAAGGTTGGTCCAATGTTGGCGCAAGGTTGGCGTAATGTTGGTGCAATGTTGCCACAAGATTGGCACAAGGTTGGCGCAAGGTAAGCCCTTATGGGGTCTTATGGGGGTCTTATGGAAGTCTTATTGGGGTCTTATGGGAGTTTTATGGGGGTCTTATGGGGGTTTATGGCGGTCTTATGGGGATCTTATGGAAGTCTTATGGGTATTTAATGGGGGACTTACGGTATTTATGGGGGTCTTATGGGGGTTTATGGGGGTCATATGAGGATCTTATGGGGGTTTATCAGGGTCATATGAAGGGGGTTGCCAAGAGGGTTGCTAAGAGGGTTGATAGGGGATTGCTGGGGGGTTGCTATGGGTAGCGTCCCCTGATTTTTCAGCAACGCCTGAATATGAGGGTCTTATGAGAGTATTATGGGGGGGGGGTATTATGTCATAGGGGTAATAAGGTGATAAGGGTAATGAGGGTCCTATGGGGACGTATATCATCAGTTAATGGAAAAGTGCAATGAAAAGGCAATATCCATTCGGAAGCATATTGCTAATTCATTAGCAAAAACAGGCACCATAATTGACACAATTGAAAGCAATTGCCCACTTGCTTCATGTTGAATGAATTCAGACATTCAAGAAATTTTCCCTAGAAATTTTTCTCGTGGTCGTTCGGCAGAAAATTATGAGGCTCAGTTTATATCAAGTGAATGTTACTGAGTAGTTTGTTTTTATTCCCATCAAACATGCATAATTTTCACGGAACAAATGATAGTTTCGAAAGAAAATTTGGTTTGTTTTCCCGAAAACTGGAATATCGGCAAAACTAAAGAACTTTCAGGAGAACCATGTTTTTCGGGGAGAATAATGTTTCATTCTCGTGAATATATTCTTTCTTCGGTGAATTCTTATGAAGTTTTGTCACATGAAAGGATTGTGGTACAATAAATTGTATGTTTCCTGCCGACATCTTCAATTGTTGCAGTGATATTTCTAATGATCCTGACAAAAATTCAATTTTTCTGAAGGATCTCGAACTTTCTTACATCAAGTTGGTTAATTTCGCTGAAATAAATCTGTTCCACTCCACCAAATTTGCTTACACGGAAAATATAATTTTTCTTCAGAAGTACTTTTCCTCTCAGTGCATCATCAGACTTATCACTCAGCTGCTGCTTTTCAACTGATCCTTCTGTACTCTCAGTAACAATGATGATTAATCTTTAAATGTTCAAGCGGCTCCCAAGGGTCCGCAGGGGCACAAAAATCACCTCCGTAACCCCTTTTTGTAACACCAAGTAGACTTATAATCAAATAAGGGATTTTGACCCTCTTGAACCTTGTAACCTTGCTGTACACTGTGACCCTTATGGCCCTTATGAAACGAAAATTGACAAAAATATATAATTCAGCTGGACTCAAAATTATGGTATAATTGCCATACCATCACACTTTTCTATGGTATATGTTATTAAAAGTTGAATTATGGTAGCGATACTGTAATCATGGACCCTACCTGGCAACGCTGGCGCCAGTCCGCTGGTTTATATAGGAATCTGTCTTCCGGAAGTTTCCGATCGAGAAGCATCTATCGGTCGATGCTAATCACCCGAGTCCCATTCCCCCACCATCGAGATCCTTCGATGACAGTTTTCCTAACCCTCCTCGCCCAGAACATTCCTTCTTTTTCTATTTTCAGTGTTTTTAACATCTCGATTAGATCATAGAAAAATTAAATTTTTTCGTTTTTGTCAACGGAAGATTTTTGTCAATTTTATAAGCGTATATGTACGATTTTTCTCCTGAAAACACCTTTCACATACTATTTTGATGTCCAACTACTCAGAATAATTATTTTTAGACTAAATGAAAAAAGTAAAAAAGCGAGTAAACCGAACAAATTTAATTTTTCTATGATCTAATTGAGATCATCAAAAAAAAAAAAACCTAGTTGTATTCTTTGGAATCTAATAAACATTTTGAAAAAAGAAACGTTTGAATCGGATGAATATTGTGGTGCAAAGAGCATTTCAAAGTCAAAAACACGAAAGATTACGTTTTCACCTGACGTTCGGAGTAAAATGGGTTGGTTCGAAATTTTCGCTAGTCGTTTAGGTACTCCACAATATATTAAAAGTTGTTCGATAGTTATTTTCATCAACCGTAAACTCAAATTTCACATGGATCCCTCCTTAAGACTCTTAAAATCACCTTGTACGGAAATTTTTAAATCCAAATATATCTTCGGCTGTAATCAACCAATTGAATTTCTCTTTTTTCTCAGATGAATTTTTAGAAAAACTTAGACAGAGTTCCTGCCACAGTACAGCCCTAAAGGTACTAGACATGTGTTGTGGAAAAGGCGGAGACCTTTTAAAATGGAAAAAAGCAAACATTACCCACTTGATTTGCGCAGATATTGCTGATGTATCCATTGAACAGTGCGAGACTCGTTACAGAGATATAGAAAATCGTAGTCAAAGTGATCGAGGCTTTGCTCCACTGTTCTCTGCTGAATTCCTCGTTGCTGACTGCTCAAAGGTATGTAGAGCCTCGCAACTCTATTTTGTCGGTGAACGACGATGGACACGTATAACGATGGGAAATATTTTTTAATGATAAAGATTTCAGGTTCGGTTGAGGGAGAAATACAGGGATCCGAGTGCGCTTCTTGATCTCGTTAGTTGTCAATTCGCATTGCATTATAGTTTCGAGACGCTACCACAGGCTGAATGCATGATGCAAAATGCTGCTGAGACACTCAGAGCTGGCGGTTATTTTATTGCCAGTATTCCAGATGCTTATAACTTAGTGTATGTAGTGATTTTAATTATTCATCTCATTGATAATCTTTAAGAATGATAACTATGCCAATACTGAAAGACCTTATTTTTTCGAACTTTTCTACACTATAGAAAGTGTCAGCTTATGTTTCTTCCTGATCTAACTCATTTCTCAAGTTGTCATGTGTGTTCTTGAAAAATATCTTTTTTCAATTACCACAAAAAGAGTTAGTTATATTTTCCACTAATCATATCAGTCACTTGGTGAACCTCGATGATAATTTCACAATCTTAGAGTTTATAGCTATCGAGACATCAGCTACACCCAATGAACCTTACACCCAAATATAGATTCCTATGGAGCTATGATTTATTTGAACATTTCACCCCACTCCCTTCGAGATAAAAAAAACAAGCAGGGTCGCGAGGCTATTCGACAGAAGGAACAGACCATTATTTTATTCGTTATTAGTGTTTTTGATTCTTTCTCTCTCTTTCTCGAATGTTTTTAATGTTATCAATCCCTATTCACTTGCGTGGTGGATAGCAAGAGCATAATTGGGAATCATGAAAAAAAAATCCACTCTCAGGACATCTGACCCTTAAAGCTCCTGAACTGTACAAATCCCTAATCGTTACAAAATTCGACCCTCAAATATACGATCTTCTAGACATTTGCGTCTGTCACAGCATTAAACACTGCCATAATATGAAGCAAAAAAGAACATAATTTTATGGTAAAGGACTTCTTCAGTCATAAAGATTCGAAAATCATTGATAGAATGACGATGTTGTATTTTTCAACAAAAACTATTTGTAGATAAATTGCTCTATGCCAAAATCTATTAAATCGATCAGCCTAAAATTTTATACACTAGTGTGACTCAATGGTATCAACTATTACCCAAGGTTTTGAATTCTATTTCCACCTTCTACGTGTATTGTCAAACGCTAACCCTATAAGGCCGCCAAAGCGGAATACCAGCCTCCCCAGTCGAGCGTCCTACTACGCTTTACTACGCTTTTCACCTCAGAGCATTAAATCAACTCTGAGATGAAAAACTTAGAAAAACTCGAATATTTCGAAAACTTTGCATGAACGGATATCTACATTTTGATTGATCTCGATGGTGGACACCGAGACGAGTATTTTGAAAAAAAAAAAGTAATTTGACCAGTAGTTTAGGAGATATTGGGCAAAACATATTTGCACAAAAAGTTAAATATCTCCTAATCTACTCGTCCGATTGCACCACTCCACAATACCAGCCTGTAGTACCATAAGATTTACAATCGTACCAAATTTCAGCTTTCTATGTCAGTTTTTTCGAGAATGATCGTGCCTACCCCGATTTTATGACAATGATGAACAATGCCGATTAGGGGAGGGTGTGCCTGTACCGCTCAGCGGGTAGTACCGCTCACCCGATTTTCTCCACAACCATCAACTTGAAAATTTCTTTCTGTTCCTGATCATGAAGAATTTGATGATAGAATGTGATTGTCAGAAAAATTTCACTTTATATTTACCACTTTAAATATGAAAAAACACGTAACGAAGTTTTGAGATCTTTACAGTGCAAAATTTGTCGACTTTTAATTAAGGTTTTTGATAGTTTCAAACGCTGAATTGTCATATTAAACTGTGGTTATTTGATTCGTGGTACTTTCATGTGTAATTTGAGACCAATTCGAACACGAAACTCCACTCAGGTCAATAATGATCAACAATTTTGTTGACGCCGAGCGGAGTCGGTAATACCGCTCATAGGATCGGCCACGTAGTTGCTCGACAGCACTCGAGTACAGGTTAGATTGCGGCGCGAGCGATACATGCAAAACCCTATGAGCGGCATTGGAATTGTGCCGAGCGGTATTACCCGACGGCGGGTAGTACCGCTCAATAGGCTCACTCTTTTATTTTCAATCAATTTTGTGGATTCTAAGGAGAATTAGGCGTCTACACTTCGAGAATAACGAGTTCAATAGTTAAAGAAGTCTCTCAAATACGTTTTTTATACTCAAGTTGAAATATAAAATATAAAACTGGCATTTCCCCTTAGGTGGGCGGTACAGGCACACCCTCCCCTACTACCGAGTTATCCCTGATTAAGTAGAAATATTATGCCATGATTTGATGGATATTAGCATAAGGAATATTTTGACGTCAAAAAAATTCAATTCAGTCACATACTTTTTGAGATATTAAGCAGAAAAGATTTTTGAGAAATTGCTGAATCTCAAAAACTACCTGACCGACTGAGCTGAAATTTAGCCCAGATGTGCTCCCAAACAATGCCAATTATTTCACAAAATTTTATATTTTTACCATCGACGTTACTCGTTTTTCGTGAAGATTTATAAAAATATTCCGAAAATCCGCACACGCACACTGACGTACAAACACACTTTTTTCTAAAAACTTCATATCTTGTCGTTTCATGACATTCTACATTATTTCCAAGCAAAATTTTTTTTTTGGATGGGCGGCAATTACAATAAAAGATATTTTCCTTGAATTTATTGAGAGTCCGATAATCAGTGCTGATATTTACTGTGAGTTCTTGAAGAAAAACTTCTTTCCTTAGGCATGAAAAAATCAGTCAAGAATTTCTATTTCATGCAAGATGGTGCCAGTAGATAGGCAAAGCCGCTTCTGAATCAAATATGGGCGAGGGGGGTCGGGGCAGGAGGGGGCGGCGGTGGGGGGGGG